GTGGAGATGCCACCTTCCTCTCCTCGGCCTCCAGGCAGACCCTCATGTCACCCCCGCCCACCTCATGCCTTCCACACCCCCCCTCCTTTCCCTCCCCGCTGCCTGGCCTCCTTTATCCTAGAGCTGGACCAGGGATCCAATAAAATCTAACGTGAGCCACATAGGTGACTTTTATTTTCTAGGAGCCACATTAAAATTTAAAAAAGGGACTGGTGAAATCAATGTCAATGTGTGTTTCATTTAACCCAATAGACCCAGCACATTATCATTTCAACACGGGATCAATAGCGCAGTGATGAATGAGACACTGTACACTTTTCCCACACGAAGTCTTTGCAACCCGGTGTGCCTTTTACACGAGCAGCGCATCCCGTTTGGGCCCAGACACAGGGCCGCGGTCAGCAGCCACGGGAGGCTGGTGCCACTGGGTTGGGACTGGCCTCCTCACTGGCCCCTCTGCCTCCAGCCTCAGGGAGGCTTGGGACCCCGACCAGGAGCCTGAGGGCCGGCTGCCTGGAGGAAGGGCGCTCCCTCTGAAGAAGCTCAAATGGGACAGGTGGCCATGGACGTCCAGGCGGAGGGGCCCCAGGCCTGGTGAGCTCCCCAGCAGGTGCTGCCTCCCCTGCCTGAATCTCCCAGCTCTGCCCGCTCCCTAGATTGGGTCCCTTCTCTGTCCCCTCTCCACCGTGGGCTCGGCCACTGTCCTCCCTTTGGGTGAAGGCTGTGTGGGGGGCCCCCAGGGAGTGGGGTACAGAGAGAAGAATGTGATGAGGGACCCCACACTTATTCTTACCCCTCCAGGAAGCCCGAAGATTCTCTCCAAGTCGGGTGGAGTGAGGATGTCCCTGCCCAGCACGGATCCCTTAAAGCCGGGGGCGTAGGCCTCGATGCAGTTGAACACTGTCCAGGCAGCAGGGAGACGGGTGTTAGGAGGAGGCGTTATGGTTCACAATTCGGCAAGTTTACTGTAATTCATTAAACTATACACTGCAAATTACATCTCAATAAGCAAAATTAAATAGATAGATAGATAGATAGATAGATGATAGATAGATGGATAGATAGATAGATAGATAGATAGAATCCTCAGGCAAATAAATAATTCAGTACAAAGGCCTATGGATCTCAGGCTAGTCCCGCCTTCTTACCTCAACCCTCAACACAAAGCGATTTGTTGCTCCTTGACTGTGCAAAGCTTTCCTCACCGCATCGCTTTGCTCAAGCTATTTCTTCTGCGTGGAATGCCACTTGCAACCTGGCTAACCCCTGTTCACCCTGTAAAGCCCCGCTCCCACGACCCCGGCTTGGAAAGCTCTCCACGTCCCTCCGCCTCATGCTTCTGCCTTCGGTTCACACAGGACCTTGTGCTGTAAGATTGGTTTCCTTATTACTCAACCCACTGGACCGTGGGCCACTGGAGGGCAGGAACTGTGTGTTTTACTTTCTTAGCCCAGTGCCTGACCCCGGGCATTCACTATGCAGACTTAGTTCCCTTGGATAATTCTCTTCTCAGGGGACAGATCCTGAAGGTGGGGGACTCAGAGGAGAGGGGCCCTTCAGACCACCAGGCCAGCTGCCACTGCAGACAGGAAGTCTGGCGGAACTCCTTACCTTTGTCGGCATAAGCGTTTCTCTCCTGCTCATCCCAGACTTTGCCTCCGGCCAGGGTGTAGGGAGTGTACTGAGTGAAGAGGGAGATGACGTGACAGCCGGGGGGAGCCAGCGTGGGGTCCAGGGAGGAAGGGATGCAGAGCTCAATCAAAGGCCTGTGACAGGAGGAGGGACGGTCAGATCCAAAGAATCAGTTGCCCCAAGGGAAGGGGCTGGGGCCGCTCCGAGATGACAGGGGACAAGAGGAAGGCCTGGGAGGAGATGACGCTCAGGCCAGCGGATCATCTCTGTGAGGCCAAGGTGGCTGGTCACCGGCACAGTGGCCACCAGGAGAGTCCAGACTACTCCCGAGGAGCCCAGCCCCAGCCTCAGCCCCAGCCCCAGGGTCTCTGGTCCCACCAGCCCCAGCCCCGAATGCCTGGCCTTCCCTGCCTTCCTCCACCACAGCCTGGAGAACGAAGGGTCTCAAATGTCCCAGGTCCAGACAAACAACACGAATGAGCGAAGGGGCCAGGCTAAGACAGCAGGCGCTTGGGCAGCCAGGTTTCAACCTCTCTTACCCCTGCCTGGTCGCCTGTCCTGACCAGGCCAAGCAACACAGAGCTGCCCGGCACCAGCAGCCCAGGAACCGCCTCCCGCCCCTCTCTTGTTACAACACCTGTCCCCCTGCAGCACAGTGTTCCTCTAGCCTCTGAACACTGCCACCCTTAGGCACTGAGGGCCCCTTCTCCCCGCGTCCCTCCCTTCAGCGCGTCCTCTGCGCTGTGTGTCCACTAGGCCCCTCCAAAATCCAGCAGTGGACAGCCCAGCAGGATGTAGCAGCTGAGGCTCAGACCCCACCACTGCCCTTCACTCCCAGGTTCTCTTTCTCCAGCCACTCTGGCCTCATTTCTGTGCCTCCCACACAGCAGCACCCTCCTGCCCCAGGGCCTTTGCACCTGACTTTCCCTCCGTCCGGATGTCCTTCCTCAGATACCCACAGACCTCCCTGCTCAAATGCAAAGTTATTAGCGAAGCCTCTTCTGATCCTCTAATGAAGACTAGCAATGCCCCCCCCTCCGCCCCCCGACCTATTTTTCTTCATGTCACAGGGCATGGCTATCTTGTCTCCACCACAAAATGCCAGTGACCCGAGGGCCCAGGCCTTGTTGACTCTGCTTCTGCGTTGCACCCTGGTCCCTGAACTAAGCCTGTAACAGAGTAGGGCCCCAAATATTTATGAATGGATAAGTGGGCTTCGCCCTCTACCCTTCTCTGAGGGCCCACATCCTCTTTACCTCGTGCTGTTAACATTTGTGTGCCCGTCTTATGATGAACTTAGTGTCTGCCTCATGCCCCTACCCGACCCCCGATCCCTTCAACCTGTGCCTATACAGAGCCTGGCACAGAATCGGTTTCCAACAGGTTTTGGGGGACACGGACAGGATGGAAGATGCTTGCTCCCGAACATCCCTGCCTGTCCCTAGGATGGAGACACAGCTGTGGTGCGGTGGGAGGCGGGAAACCCTTTTCCAAGTTTTGCATGAAGCAGTTATCAGAGATAAGAGCGGATATGGAGTCGGTGAGTGTGGGCCCCTGGGCAGGCGGCTGAATTGGATAAATGCCCTTTCTCTTCCTTATTTTCTCCAGTTCGTCCCAAACGCCAGCTCTGTTCTCTTCACTCCTTCTGCTAATCCGTGCTACTTGGCTGAAACTGCTGGACTCTTCGTCCCTTCCCTGCCCTGACTCATACTTCCTGCCTGGGATGCATTTCCTCGCCTTGGATCCAAGTGTGGGTTTAGGTGGGTCCTACCTCGTTGTGAATATTTAACACCAGGAGGAGGACAACCCTACCGTGTCGGGCAGTCGCCCCCGCCTCCCTAGGGCCACGGCTGAGAACACCCAGGGACGCAAAGCCCAGGGACCGCTCACCTGCGGGAGGGCCGGCCATCCATGGCATCCTCAAAGGCCTGGTGGAGCAGGTGGGTGTCTTCACAGTTCAGGTGGATGGAGCACTGGTGATGGGGCAGCGGCTGGCCCCTGGGAGCGTTGGGGGCCGCCAGGAAGTCAGGCAGCCGATTGACAGCCACTGAGGAACCAAAGGAAGGGAGGGGTCAGGGCCCCACGGCCTGTGTCCTCTGCACCCCGGATCCTCCTTCTCTCCTCATCACCCTGCTCACCCTGGGAAGAGAAAGTATGAAAAAGTATTTTCCCTTCAAATCAGGGGCAGGCTGGAGAAATGATGATGAGGTTAGTTTCCCCCAGACCTGGACGCTGCTCACTCCGAGCATGGCCGAGAGACGGCCCTGCAGTGGGCTTTGCTCTTACCATTGATCTTGGTGACAGGCGACCGGATGTCCAGCTGAGAGATCCTCTGTGTGAACTCTTCGGGAAGCCATTCCTGCAAGCGGAAGTTTCCATAAAGGCCTGGCCCCAAAGTGGCGGCCTTCCTCTTTTGCTCAGACCGGTCTCTTGACCTCTACTTCCGGAAATCCTCTCCATCCTCAGAGCTCAGCCAGATCCCCTCCTCCGTGAAGCCCTCCCCTCCTGCTCAGTGCTAACCACTTCTTCCTCTGTGACCTGCCAGCAGTCCTGACTATAAATGGCCCCCACTGACTCCTGCTTTCGACACGGCCAGTGGTCTGCAGGCCTTTCTCCTCCCATCCGTAAGCTGTTGGAAGTCTTGATGATCTCAGAAGTGCCTTAACAAGAGGCTTTTGAACGGATGTTTGTTGGATTTTAGTAGTGGAATCACTCAGAAAAAGAGTTGCTTGTCTCAAGAATAGCCCCAAGAATGGTTGGGAGCTCCGTGCTCATATCATCGCCTATCTTAGGGACAGGGGAGGTGTGGTCAGTTGCAAGAATTATTCCAAATCCTCACGCCTTTCCATGCATCCCTCTCTGTAATGTCCTCCCGTTCTGACTCTGGGGTTGGCCTTGGACAAGACCAGTGTGAATGGGATGCAAACCAAAGCCTGGAAGGGCTGCCTGGTTGAGTTTGCTTGCTTTTGCCTCTGCCAGACGCTGAGAATATGCGTAGATATGAAGGACGGTGGAACAGAGCCCCCCATCCCCCACCCCACGCACACACACCGGCCCAGGTCATTTGGGCAGAAACTGTCCTGCACTAGCCATGCCTCCTGACGCCCTGGCTGGCATGTGAGCGAGCCCAGCCCAGGTCAGCAGGGCTCCGAGCTGATGGCAGATGTACGAGGAGCCCAGATCAGCTGAACTTAGCCAAGATCAGCGGACTTCTCCAGCTCTCTGTGCTAAATCAGAAGTTCTTGTCACATGCCCAGGAGTCCTGTGGCTGTTTGTGATGCGGCATTCATGTGGAAACAGGTAATCCACACAGGCCGTGGAACCGGGGCTGGTTAGAAGGGAGGAACCGGGATAGCAGGACAGTTGTATAAATAACTCTGGGTCCCAGCTCTGGCTCTGTCCTTTGCCACCTGAACGGCCCAGGGCACCTCACCTCTCTGGACCTTTCTCCTCACCTGTGAGGCTCTGCCCTGTTTGTTACCCGTCTGTGAGGTGAGAAAGAGTAGGACTGGCTTCCCCAAAGGTGGACAGACTTGGCCCTTGCATCTCCTACCCCCATGCAGTTCCAGCTCCCTCGATCACCCCATTTCTCAGCTCCTGTCTTGGCAGAGAACTTTAAAAAATTTGTTTATTTTATTGACTTCAGAGAGGTGAAGGGAGAGGGAGAGGGGTGTAGAAACATCAATGATGAGAGAGAATCATTGATTGGCTGCCTCCTGAACGCCCCCCACCCCCAACTGGGTAATCAAGCCCACAACCTGAGCAGGTGCCCTGACCGGGAATTGAACTGTGACCTCCTGGTTCATAGGTCAACCCTCCACCACTGAGCCATCGGGCTGGGCAGAGATCTTAACCCTCCCCCCGCTCCCCTGGCTCACCTGTGGCGTCAGCTTCAGGAAGGTGGTCTGGGGCGCCGCGTTGGACAGCACCACTTTGCTCCTCACCTCGGAGCCGTCCTGCAGCACCACTCCTCGCACGCGTCCTCCGCTGCTCACCTGCACCTGAGCCACCGTCTGGACCCCACACATGAGGCCCCAGAAGCCCCCAGGAAGGAAAACGAGGTGAGACCTTGAAGGATTTCCATGTTCTCTGCTGTTCCTGGACATTCACAGGTTCCGCACCCCGAATCCACCGGCCGAGCTCGCAGCTCCTCGGGGAAGCCTAGCCCGCCCCTCCGCCCGGAAGGCTCAGCCCAAGTGTGGACAGTGGCGGTGAACTTGACGGGAGCCAGAACCCGGTGGACAGCTGCGCAGCTACTAACAGGCTGCAGGACTGAGACCCTCGACTCCGAGTCCCGCCTTGTCCATTGGTAAAATGAGGGAACTTGTGAATCTGAGGTTTTGGAAAGACCCTAGCCCACCATTCACCTTCCCAGTGAAGATACTTGCTCCGTGCGCGGTGGCTGAGCTTGCGATGGCTTCCGAGAGGGCACCCATGCCTCCCTGGACGTAGCCCCAGGCGCCCTGCATCCCCTCCAGGCCCCCCATCACGTGGTGCAGCAGCACATACCTGAGGGCAGATCATCAGACTCAGTGGCCGGTGGCATTTAATCTCCTCAGAGTTCAAGGTGCAAATATTCCACCCTGTCTTGTACCTTCAGCCTCTCTCTTCCCATCCAACCCACCCCACTAGCCTTTCAATGGGTTAGGCTCTTGTACGAGCCCTTTGCTTCCCCATCCAGTTCTCTCCCCGTGCACGTGTCTGGTGCTGCAGCTCCGGCTCTCTCCTGCGCTCCAGTCTGTCTGTCCAGCTACCCACTGAGATCCCCATTTGCATGGTTTCTTATCAGGCGTCTTAAACCCAATCTTTGCCCGCATCCACCAACCTGTTTCTCCTTTCCCCACACCAAAGAACAGCATCTTCAGTTTCCAGAAGAAACCTGCCTCCTACTAGTCGCTCACGCCCTCCATCCAACCACGTGCTGTCACCTCATCTCTGAAGAGCTTCCTGCCCCTGCTCCCTGCGGCTCCTTCCCGGGTTCAGGCCGCTCTGCTCTTCCGTAAACACTGCAGTGGGCCTTCCTCACTGGACACCTTCTCCCGATCTCTCTTCCCTGCACACCTTTCTCCACGTAGAACCTGGAGTCCCAACTCAAAACCCAGCTATGCCCTGGCCCTGCTCTGGGCTCCTTGCTGGTCGTGGCCGAGTCTGAAAAGGGCCCCCAGGGCTCCTGCCTGACCTTGAGCGGCATCCCTCACCACGCCCCCTCCCAGCCCAACTCCTACCAAAGGGAACCTCCGTTAGTCCCTCAGATAGGCCACCTGGTTTCTCAACTCCCAGCCTTTGCACATGGAACACAGCTGCCTAGAGCCCCCTCCCCCCTAGTCTTTTGCTTCACTCATTCCTCCGTTCCTCCGTCCTCAGAGGCTCAGCCTAACTGGCGCCCTCTCCTGCAGGGCTTCCCTCTCCTGCAGGGCTTCTCTGACCGAGAGCACGTGGTCCCGGGCTCCTTCCCATCCCAGCCCCTCGGCACCTGGCCGTCAGTGCCTGCTCCGCCTCACACACAGGATTTCAGCCCCAGTCTCTGCTGTCGCCCTAGCACCTCGCACTGACAAGTGCTCCACCAATATTTATTGAAAGAGTTAATGAAGAAACAAATTACTTAAAGGCACATTTTACAACCTGGGCAGTAGCTAAGCCTCCTGGAGGCCCACAGAGAAAAGGGGAGGAAGCCCCAGCTGGAAGATCCCCATTGATTGTTTGAGCACAGAGCTTGGCCGAGGTGTGGCAACCGCTGCCAGCCCCCCTTTCCACGGCCCCGGGGGGAATGGGGGCTGGCTTAGTGCACGCGGGAAACCACTTCCAAGGGGCGCTCCCTCCCTTGAGAGGAAAGACACATTGACAGCTTCTAGCTGCATCTTCTGGTGCTTTGGACGCGGCCCAACACCTGGCAGCATCCTCTGTCCCAACACACACCCCGCCCTTCCTGCTCCCGCGGGGCTTCCCTCCGTCCTACCGCAGCCAAGGACTTCACTGCGTGTGACTGCCCCCTGCTGGCTCAGGCTGTTAGCACACCCCGCTCACAGGGGAGGCGGCTGCCCGCCCTTACCCAGGTGTCTGTGTGTGAGTCCTGGGACCCAGGGGAATGGCCGGTGGGAGGGGAAGGGGCAGCAGGGCTTCCTGGGCGGGGAGGAGATGGGAAGAGGAGTGAGGGAGAGAGGAGAAAGGGTGGGAAGAAGATACATTCACGTGAGATGTCACCGTGGGAGGTGGGCGAGAGGCTTTTCTTACTCAAGAACAGAGAGTGGCAGCTAAGAAGGGCTTTTTGGGGTCAGACAACTTGGGCTGCAAACCAGCCCGGCCACGTCATAGCTGCGTGACTCCGGGCAAAACACTTCCCTTCGCTGAACCACGGCCCTTAGGTCCTAGCGTGAGGGTCAGATGGATCGTGTATGGAGTGTGTGGCTTCCTGCTTGGCCCACAGGGTGAGCTGTCAGTGACTGTTGTTATCACGCTTTTGGGGGAATTCGCTCCACTCCCACCGCCCCGCCTCCCACACTCACCCACTCCCACCGCCCCGCCCCGCCTCCCACACTCACCCACTCCCACCGCCCCGCCCCGCCTCCCACACTCACCCACTCCCACCGCCCCGCCCCGCCTCCCACACTCACCCACTCCCACCGCCCCGCCCCGCCTCCCACACTCACCCACTCCCACCGCCCCGCCCCGCCTCCCACACTCACCCACTCCCACCGCCCCGCCCCGCCTCCCACACTCACCCACTCCCACCGCCCCGCCCCGCCTCCCACACTCACCCACTCCCACCGCCCCGCCCCGCCTCCCACACTCACCCACTCCCACCGCCCCGCCCCGCCTCCCACACTCACCCACTCCCACCGCCCCGCCCCGCCTCCCACACTCACCCACTCCCACCGCCCCGCCCCGCCTCCCACACTCACCCACTCCCACCGCCCCGCCCCGCCTCCCACACTCACCCACTCCCACCGCCCCGCCCCGCCTCCCACACTCACCCACTCCCACCGCCCCGCCCCGCCTCCCACACTCACCCACTCCCACCGCCCCGCCCCGCCTCCCACACTCACCCACTCCCACCGCCCCGCCCCGCCTCCCACACTCACCCACTCCCACCGCCCCGCCCCGCCTCCCACACTCACCCACTCCCACCGCCCCGCCCCGCCTCCCACACTCACCCACTCCCACCGCCCCGCCCCGCCTCCCACACTCACCCACTCCCACCGCCCCGCCCCGCCTCCCACACTCACCCACTCCCACCGCCCCGCCCCGCCTCCCACACTCACCCACTCCCACCGCCCCGCCCCGCCTCCCACACTCACCCACTCCCACCGCCCCGCCCCGCCTCCCACACTCACCCACTCCCACCGCCCCGCCCCGCCTCCCACACTCACCCACTCCCACCGCCCCGCCCCGCCTCCCACACTCACCCACTCCCACCGCCCCGCCCCGCCTCCCACACTCACCCACTCCCACCGCCCCGCCCCGCCTCCCACACTCACCCACTCCCACCGCCCCGCCCCGCCTCCCACACTCACCCACTCCCACCGCCCCGCCCCGCCTCCCACACTCACCCACTCCCACCGCCCCGCCCCGCCTCCCACACTCACCCACTCCCACCGCCCCGCCCCGCCTCCCACACTCACCCACTCCCACCGCCCCGCCCCGCCTCCCACACTCACCCACTCCCACCGCCCCGCCCCGCCTCCCACACTCACCCACTCCCACCGCCCCGCCCCGCCTCCCACACTCACCCACTCCCACCGCCCCGCCCCGCCTCCCACACTCACCCACTCCCACCGCCCCGCCCCGCCTCCCACACTCACCCACTCCCACCGCCCCGCCCCGCCTCCCACACTCACCCACTCCCACCGCCCCGCCCCGCCTCCCACACTCACCCACTCCCACCGCCCCGCCCCGCCTCCCACACTCACCCACTCCCACCGCCCCGCCCCGCCTCCCACACTCACCCACTCCCTGGAGTGTGGGGACTTGTCATGGCTCCAATCACAGCATCCGTTGCTAGAGTAGCTTTTAGAGGCTCGGACTCAAACCACTGATCCAGCACCTGGGACAGTAACACAGCAAGGAGAAGAGCTTAGGGCCATCGGAGGGAGAGAACCCCTCACCGCAAGGCCCTGCCTGAGGCTGGGAGCCCCTCACCTTGGTAATGGGAGCTGTGAGGACCTGGTAATACTGGGGCAGCTGGGCCCCCAGGATGCGGCCTGAAAGAGAAGACCCACAAAACATAAACTGACAGGCGAGAAGGAAACGCTGTGATCTGCAATCTCTCAGCACTCGATTCTAGACTCATCCACAAGGTTTGCTTGGCCAATGGAATGCTTTAAGTTGTGATGCAAACAGCAGCTTGAAACTGGCCTGCACACTGAGTCTTGCCCTCTGAGCTTCTGCCATTAATGTAAGAAGGCCTGCAGCTCCCAGGAATACAGGTGCCTGGAACACAGTTGCCCTAGCTGATCTGCCCCAGCCACCAACATGTGTGAGACCAGACAAGATTAGCTGAGCCCAGTTGGGAACAGTTAAACCATACAGATATGTGAGAAATTTTTATATGCCACTGAAGTTTTACAGTTTTATGTAGCAATTTTGTGGCCATAGCTGTTTCAGTATTTTTCTAGAATACAGAGCTAAACTGGTCTTTATAACCTGGGGGAGTAGAAAAGAATAGCATGCATAGCCAAACTACCCTTTTCATAGCCGTGTCAGACATCACTAATCAATCACAGAAGTTTTTCCTGCTAAGCCCCAATCTAGCATCCTCTTCAAACTCTCCTGGCCCTTCTCTCTAACAGCCAGGGCCAGGCAGGCTTCCATCAGCTCCACACGGTGCCATCGGCAGATGTCACCTCACGCCTGTAAGGTGCGCCTCTTCATTTCAGCCTTGGGGCTTCTCTGGCCCCAAGACAGGACGCCCACAAAAGGCCACCTGACACCCATGGATGCCCAGTCCTATGTAGGAGTTAAACCCTCATGGGGTAACCTTTGATCACTGGGAGATGGAACCTAATGGAGAAAGGTTTCCCTTTCTTCTCTGGGGGCAGGTCCTCACGTGCACCTCCTAGGGCTTCTAGGGGGTCCTCTCGGGACCCAGCACCTGTCACCTGCGTGGTGGTCCGCACAGCAGCACGCTGGTGTGGACTCCCCCTCTTCCCCATTTCTCTCTCCCTTCCCTGGATCACCCTGCAAAACAAGCCGCTCGCACGTAAGCCTTTGTGTGGGCTCTGGTGTTAGGGCACGCCAGGCACGACCTCCTCGCCGACCTCTGGGCAGCCGTTAATGGACGGCAGCTGGCAGGCTGCCTTGGCGGCTCAGGCCTACATCTGATCATGGCGACAGTGGGCTCGGCTCCGTGAAGGTCACTCCTCTGCCTGATGCCAGCCAGGACTTACCTGCCTGCAGCAGGGGTGCGAGGGTGGAGAGCGCCCGGAGCCTCTGCAGCAGGGAGCCCCGCCGGAAGGCCTCCATGTCCACGGGCGCTGCGTCCAGTAGAGGGTCGATGGCTGATGCCAAGCGATTCATGAAGGCCTCGTATTTGGGAAAAGCCTGGAACACAACCCCAAGTCCAGGCCCTGATGCCTAGAAGGGGACATGGTCCCATGCTCTGCCCTCCATGCTGCCCCCACGTGGCCGCCGCCCTCAGCGGAGCCTCCTGCTTCCTCTGGCCGAGATGCCCGCCTCGCCTCTAGGTGTGTCTGTGCTGTCACTCCCTGTCTGGCTCTGTGATGAGGTCGACACCAGGGGAGGTCAGAGCGAGCCTGGGCCGCGGGAGAGCCATCGGGCGGTGGCAGGAACAGGGGTTAAGCTGGCCGGACCAGTCGTCCGCCACAGGAACCTGGCAAGTACCCAGGATGTGGTCTCCGCGATAAACCAAGAACCATGGAGCAGTTTCTTCTTTCTCTGCCGTGTGCCGTGCATTACTGAGGGGAAGTAGGATCCTCTCCCCGCGCTCCAGCTTGCCGACTGCTCCTTCCTGCTCTGCGCCCTCCCACGTCCTCTCATCACAGCAGGACCAGGTCTGCACCCCTTCACCCCACGAGCTCCCACGACAGAATCCACTTCGACACCCACCCTCCTCCCCTGGATGGGCGACAGGAGCTGGGTGGCTGCCTGTGCCCTGGAGGCCTTATCTTCATTTTCAGCCCAGAGCTCTTAATTTTGGGTTCATCCAGACTCATGGATCTACCCATGGATTTGTAGAAAAGGAAAGTTCTGTGTTGAAGTACACAGTGAAGCTGCACAGCTTTTTCTGTGGGAGGCCTTTAGTATGACCATCAACAAAGACGAAGCCAGAATCCAGGCCCCTGACTTCCCACAGGGGACACGCCCTGCCTCCCGCTCCTGTGGTCAGCAGCACTCCAGGCCACCGCCCCATCTCACAGGCCCCGGGCCCTGGCCTTGTCCTAAATGCTCCCCTGTGCATCTGAGATGGCAGGGTTTGGAGCATAGGGTGGAGGCAGTGGTCCCCGACCCAGTGCACAAAAGAATCACTTTGGAAACAAAGCCAAGCTCCCTGGGCGACCCTGACTGTCAGCCGGGTTTGGAAATTGCTGGCTGAAGAGATATTGCCTGCTGATAGACTAGCCTCACAAAAAGCAACGCACATTGATTACAGTAACCTAGGTTCTTATAAAAATGTCTGCACAAGATCTGAGTTAAGGCCATGCCTTCAGCTTATATCTAGGCTTAGTACAAAAAATAGCCATTTAAGGAATCTTTTTATATCTGCAAACCAATCACACCAGGCCCATTATATTCACTAACTCGTTAGACAAAGCTACCCAACAAATTCCTTATAATGCAACCCCAGGAAAAAGCCTGGGAAAATCGTGCGTTCGCTGTCAGATGCGCTGCTTCCGCTCAGCAGACCCGCATGCCATCGCGGACAAGTTCTTGCCTTGGGCTGTCGGGGGATTGACGCCAAATCGAATGAATATTTATTACAACCTCCTTGTCCTAGATCCTGATCCAGTTCGTTCTATCCTTAATCGTCTCTGATCCGCCCTTGATCCTTCGTCTTGGCCTCCATGTGCTTTAATATTGATAGCCACTTAGAGTTCTGTCTGAAAGCAGCGGAGACAGAAGCGCACAGTGTAAGCACCTGCCAGCGGCCTCCCTCTGACACGCAGCAGGCGGAGGCCGTCGGAACAGCGGCCGCGTCCTGAACGCACAGGTGTTAGGGGCTCCAGTGTCCACTGGTCTTAACCACTGACCTCCCCCCTTCTCTTCGCAGTGCCCAAGATCGAGGGCCGGTGGGGTGGCCTGTCGGAGCCCCCTGGGCCTTGGACCTGTGCTCCAGGACAAGTCCCACTAGGCCCGTTTCCTTTCAAGAGCCGCCAGCAGGTGACCGAGGGGGAAGAGGTCAGTCGCCAGTCACTTCCCTACCTGGGCGTCCTTCTGCGAGAATTGGGCAATCTGCCTCTGGTTTTCCGCCATGTCTGTGCCCAAAAGTAGGGACCTGGGCGCCTTGCTCCCCGTGCCTTCTTCCAGCATGGGGGTGAAGGAGTGGGGGTTTCGCAGATGAACTCTCAGCCCATGTTTCTGCAGGACACAGGCAGAACAAGCAACATTGAGGGATGTGTGGCCTCTGCCTTTGAGCTTCTCTGGTTGTGTTTATGACCATTGAGATACCTGCATGCAGGTTCCCACGGTCCTGATTCCTATTGTTTAGTGAAAGTGTATAAAAGCCCCCGTGCCCAGGCACTCTGTGGCAGGCCATATCACACTACACTACGCCACATCACACCAGGACACACAAGGCCACACCACTCCATGTCACACTGTCACACCACCTCATATCACATCACAACACACCACGACACACAAAGCCACACCCTGTCACACCATGTCATACCACAGCACAGCACACCATGTCACACCACACCCTATCACACCATGTCATACCACAGCACAGCACATTATATCACATCACACCACACCACAGCACACCATGCCACGCCACTCCGTGTCACACCACGCTACCCTGTGCCAGGGACTGTCCTAGGGTTACAATGGTCAGCCCACAACAGCTCTATACCATCCTCATTGTACAAATGCAACAACTGAGGCTCGGGGAGTTAAATAACTTGCCCAAGGTCACAGTGGAAGGTAGATCGGGTTTCAAAACCACATCTCTGACTCAGAAGCCCTGGCTCCCGCTCCACACTAGTCTATAGCTGCCCCCGCTCCAGAAATAAATAATTAAAATTTGGAAAGACACAATAAAAAAACAATTATGTGAAAATTCATACTTACAAGGTAGATAAATTATTCACATCAAAAATTTTTATTTACTTTGCAGACTCATTTACTCCAGGGTCACCTTAAATGGAAGTTCCCTTGATGCATTTAAAATATGATTTGACTTACAAATATTTGAGGAGCACACGGAACCTTTCAGGAGCACATATTTTTTAATTTATTTTATTAATAAAGCTATTAATCATGTGAAAAATTCTATTCTGTGACTCTCCGTTTTGAGAAGCTAGATTTTTCACAGGAGGGTCTACCCCGACCCCTTCCCCACTGCGGCTGCCTCAGCGCACAGCTGGTGCGTCTGGATGTGCCCCCAGCTCTAGGCTGGTACGGGCTGAAGACCAGAGGCCCTTTCCCGTCCTTGGCTACATTTCACCCAGTCCTGGCTGGTGATGCGCTCTCTCTCTCTCCCTCTCTCTCTCTCTCTCTCTCTGGCTCAAAGAATAATTTCTTTAGTGTGTTTCCGTAGTTATCTAGTTTGGAGAACTCCTCTACATGAACCAGTTCAAGCAGCCCAAGAGCTGTGAACACTGGCTCAACATCTTATCAATTTCAAACTTTTATTTTATTTTATTTTTTTAAAATATATTTTATTGATTTTTTACAGAGAGGAAGGGAGAGAGATAGAGAGTTAGAAACATCGATGACAGAGAAACATCGATCAGCTGCCTCCTGCACATCTCCCTACTGGGGATGTGCTCGCAACCAAGGTACATGCCCTTGACCGGAACCGAACCTGGGACCCTTCAGTCCGCAGGCCGACGCTCTATCCACTGAGCCAAACCGGCTTTGGCTCAAACTTTTAATTTAGAGTAAAGTTGGTGCTAAAGTGCGTGCAGCCTCTGGCACGGGTGGCACAGGGGCCTTTTCTCGGGGTGACAGGCACCCACAGGGAGGGGCTCAGCAGCTCTGGGCTGTGAGCAGAGTTTATACAAGAGGCGGTGAGGAGTGAAAGGAATGTGGAGGGGGGGGGGCAGCGCCGGCCCAGCCTGTGACGAAGGTTAACCCAAAAGAGGCAGCAGGGGCCACTGAGAGGGTTCAGATGGCTCCCAGCAGCCCTGGGGCCGGAAGAGGTGAAAGTCCCTCCGCTCCTGCTCCGGCTGCCAGGACGGCAGCAGGACCTCAGCTAGGCAGGCTCCTGGCCTGAGGCAGCTTTGCAAACTTGGGGCTCAAGGATTCAGGCAGGCTCCCGAGGGCCAGACAAGTCAGGGCTGGGGCAGGGCAGGGCTGGGGACCCCCGCCCCACGTGGGGATCAGTGCTGCATGGAGGAACACGGGCTTCGTGTTGATAAAGCTCCTCCATTAAAATAAGTCTGATTTTTATGTGAAAGTTCCCGATTTTTAAGACACTGGTGGACTAGACCAAACCATCAGGGAACGTACCAAGGAGACCGTGGACAGATAGGCCCTCGGATAGGAGCGAGGCCTCAGGTGCCGGGAATCACCTTGTGGGGAGCCTCACCCCCGGGGGAAGATGGAACTGACCCCCACCCAGTGGGGCTCTACCTTCAGCTCCAGGTCAGTGTAGATCTGTGGTCTCAGCAGGCTGAGGAGGTAGGAGGCTCGGGAGAACTTGAACCCTGAAACCGAGTCACATGAAGACAGTCACGGGCGGTCACTGGTGGTCATCCCGCCGCTGCCCCCACTCCACCGCTCGGGCTCACCTGGAATGATCTCCTCCGTGACAGCTGCGCCCCCGATCACATGGCGTCTCTCAAAGACGGCCGTGCTCACCCCCATCCTCTGTAGGTAGGCTGCCTGGGGGACACACAGCACCCTCCCTGCACCCTGGTGGCCGCCTGCAGTCTCAGGGGCCGCACTGCAGGCCAGCCTGCCACCCGGGCTCACGCTGTTCCCGCCTCTGGGAAGCTGTTCCCCTTGCTTCCCCTGAAACTCGCTTTCCCAAAAGTCTTCTAAGATCCCACATGACTGCCCCGCCCCTCTGCCTCCTGGCTGCCTCTCACCTTCCCTCCAGGCAGGCCCAGGAGCCTCTGGGAACTCAGGCCCCCTCCTCCAGGCAGGGCAAGTCCTCCCCCCCCGCCCCCCCACTCCCCCCCTCGGTGAGGCTGGAGTGACTGGGCTGTGAGCGCTGAGCCTGACCTCCCCTCCCCATCCTGGGCAGGTTCCGCACGGAGCCACCTGGCCTCTATCTCCTCATGTGCAAAATGGGGCCATGATAACAACACCCACTTCACCTGGCTCGCGGGCTGCTGGGAGGGTTCCCTGAGCTGGGCGCTGGCTCAGGGAACGTGCCCAGAGAATGAAGCTCAGACTGCTGTGCAGCCTCATCCGAGGAACAAATGATGGAGGGGTTTTAGTAATTTTTCTCTAGCACTTAGTTGTAAATCAATAAATATTTGTTGAGTAGAATTAGTCAGGTTTTGAGCCTATGCCAGTCCTCTCACCACCACCCAGGTGACAACAGGGATGGAATAGTTCAGATGGTATAGAACTCAGACTTAAAAAAAGTTCACTTGGCAACGACAATGTGCCAGACACTGGACTGGGTCAGCTCGTTTAATTCACCCAGCCCTCGAGGGAGAACTAGAATTCCTCCCATTTCACAGGTGAGGAAACCGAGGCTCAGTGAGGGGCATCGCTCTCCTCAGGCTCACGGAGCTGATGAAGAGAGGGGCTGGGAACTGAACCCAGCTGGCCTGGCCCAGGGCCCATGCTCCCCACACATCCGGGTGGGAGAGGAGAGAGAACAGCTGACCTTGGGGAGCCCATGTGTCCTGCTGGAAGGACCACCTCCGACCAGGGGCTGAGAGCACAGTGACCGAGAGAGAGCAAGCCCCTCACAATTCTGAGCACAAACGCAGGGGCTCTGGGCCCCCACAAAATGCCAAATGCTCCCTTTCTGGGCCGAGAGACGGCTGCTTCGTCACCAGTTCCCGTCTCCTCCCGCCTCGACACAGACAAGATTCATGGAGATGGCGGTCGCGGAGTTGTCCCCCTTTCTGACAGGGTCCAATCGAGAGCAAACCCTACTGCTAGGCGCCCCTCAAATCATCCAGCCACAGCGCAGGTCCTCCCACCGCCCCCTCACTGAGCGCCTGGGTCCCCGGGTGGGGGGGGTGCGGTCTCCTCGCTGCCAGGAGCCACCACCCAACTCCATGAACGGCAGGGGGCCCGGTGGCCGCGGCTGGAAACCTCCAGCAACGAGTCAGCATTGAGTCCCTTCACAACACTGCGAGGCCCTGTGTTCTCCCAGCTCAGAGCTGGCGTGACTTGCCTGACCCTCCCCACGTAGGCAGAGCTGGGAGACAAGCCCAGGCTCATATGAACACAAAATCGACGTTTTAAATGACTGATTTCTCCCCCTGTAAAATGTTCAAGTAAAATGGATGTGTCGGGGAAAGTACTGAGACTTAGCACGGTCTCATCGCTCCGGCTCGGCTAAGCCCCCTATGTTCATCGTCCAGAGTGGCCACCGCTTCCGGACGATGTCCTGGGTCTGCCTTGGGTCCTGGACGCCCTCTGGCACACTGTGGCCTCCTAGGAGCCCACGGACTCAGGTTCGAGAAGCATGGCCATGGGTAACCCTGGCCCGGCTCAGACGGCACCTCCCTGCTGCCCTGGCTTCCTTGCTGTCCCAAGGTGCACCTGGCCCATGGGGCTGCTGTCCACTCTGGGTGGTGCATGGCCTGGGCCCAGCTGAGCACGGGCCTCGGCACACTAGATAGGCCCGCACCCTCGGTACCTGGTCCCCAGGCTCCAACACGTCTCCCAGGTGATGCCAGTTAAACCACCCACCTCCTCAGTTTCTCATCATTTCGCCCCTGAAGTTCCCTGACTCCTCCAAGGCCAAGGGGAAATCCATGGCATTGAAGGAGAGGGGAGGAAGGGGGGCCCCCAACACCCTCCTTAACCCCTGCGGACTCCATTCCTCCTGGCCACTGGTCAGCACGAGGAGAGAGGCCGGGCCTGCCTTCCCTTCCCTCCCGTGGCTGCTGAGCCACATGCCAGAGGCCAGTGAAGCTGGCGGGGGAGATACTCACAGCCACCAGCCCGTTGTGACCTGCAATGACACAGGGAGGGGAGGAAGGCAGCATGGTCAGCCAGCAGACAGACACTTCCCTGGTGGTGTGGTCACCCACCCCTGCCCCATGCCTGGGAAGATGCTGGAGAGGGAGCAGAAACCTGGGGTCCCTCCAAACTTGCACCTGGATGTCAGAACAGCATCCAGCCTGATGCCCTGAGACTCCTGGTCTGTGGGGAGTCAGAAAACCCGGTTCTTGCCCTGGCCTGGAAGATGTCCTTTCACCTGGCGTGGCCAGGGGCTCCGTGCTGGAATGGGGGGCGAGGAGACCACATGCATCAGAGAAAGCCATCCCGTGGAGCCTCGTATCACCGAGCTGCCTCACGTGGGAATGAGGGGTGACTGTCGGGGGGACCGTGGCCGGTGCGCTGATGCTGGAAGGCCCTGTCTGGTGCGGAATCAGCGGCCGCCCAGGTGAGGGCTGTGAGGACGGTTGCTGTCCTGGCTCACTTTGCCGAGTGTGGTTCACAGCAGTGGCCCAGACGGCTGTAGGCACATGGCTTTGTCTTTGTCACCCCCAGCGCTCCCAAAGTACAAGAAGCACAGTTCGAAAGGCATAAACCGAACTCCACTGTTGCCATGTGTGCTAGAGTAGCCAGCGTGTGTCAGGGAGCTGGGGATCGGGTGGACTTGCCGACCTTACACACAAATTTCTTCCCCAAACCGTAGAGGCCGCCTGCAGGTCAGGAGCCCTGAACTTGGCTTGGGAGCCCAGGTCCACGCCAACCCTCCTGGTAGAAGTGCCTCCCCAGCT